GCAACCATTTGCTCGGGTCCCCTGGACCATGCTCCCTCCCACTCCCTGGCATGCAATCACGCTATCCACCCCAATGCAGCTAAAGAACTAAAGTAGAAAGGGTCCTAATGCGAGAATTCTATTGGGCCCCCCTACTGTAAGCGTGGCCAAAAGGCAGATCCCTAACTGTTGTGCATCTCCATCAATGCTTTGACAGCTGAGGCTCTACCATTTTCCCATGCTTGCAGGGTTGTGTTTAGCACTGAGCAGTGTTTGAATGTAAGCATGTTTTTCTATAGCTTATGTTTCGGTGAGAATGTAGAGGTGTGTTTGTATGTGATGTTGGCATTTGAATGGAAGTATGCATCTATGTGTATGTCGGTTTCCAAATGCAGGGGTGTATTTATATTTAATTTTGGTCTAAAATACAGAATTGTGTTTGCATGTAGTGTCCACGTTTGAATGCAGGAGTGTGTTTATATGTAGTGTTGACGTTTGAATGCAGGGGTGTATTTGTGTGTAATGTTGGCGTTTGAATGTTGAGATGTATGCACATATATACATACACTGCCACAAACACATAGTGATACCCATACACACACACACACATATACACACCTGAAACACATGCAGATACACATATATACACACTGACACACATGCAGAGATACAGACACATATACACACACTGACACACATGCAGCTACGCACACAGATACACATACTGACAACATAGAAATACACAAATACACACAATGATAAAATACAGATACACACACATACTGATACACAGACACATATACTGTTAGACATACTGACAAACAGACACATACACTGACAAACATAGTGACACACACAATGACACATACACTGCAGGCATACTGACACAGACAGACACACACTGGTAGACATAGTGACACACACAGAGGCACATGCACTGACAGACATACTGACACACACAGACACTTACATGGACATACTGACACAAATTTACACTTTTAAACCCATCCTCCAGTTTCCTACATTGGATGGTGGTTTCCATCCAGACTGATGAATGACTGATGAATGAGGCTGTTTGGAGTTGGGGTCTGGCTTTCCCGGCCCAGCCACCCTCCTCCCTGCCTCCTCTATTTCTCCGACATGGCTCGTCTCCTCCTCTGTGCGCCTGCTTACAAATGCCCACGGGTGACCCCGGGTGAATGGCCACCCGGTGGGCCGCCATAGTGTGCGGATCCCTCGTTGGCCAGGGTCATGTTTAAAGAAGGGTAAACAGGGCAGTTGCCCTGAGCCCAGTTACTCTTGGGGGCCCAAAGCAGCTACGCCATTTCCCCCGTGTTTAAGATGGCTCTGAGTGGGACTCCATGACACTTAGATGTCAGTGTTAGAATGAAAAGGTCTGGGCAGCATTGACATCAAGATTGCTGCTAAAATGTGATGGGCTATGGGAGCCAGTAAAGCCTTGATTTTTGTCAAACATCTTCAAAACTGTTTACCAAAAGAACTGCGACAGTGACCATAGATATATAGTAGCAATCTGTAGTGGTTATAGTGTTTAGTTGTTCATAAATAAGTCTCCCCCTAATTGTTTTGATTCTCTGTTTGTGGTTTTATTATTTACAATTCAATATTTAAAAAAAAAAAAAAACTGGTATATTCACTGTCAAATAAGAACAGGAATCCATCAGTTAGTTCACTATAATGGAGATTTAAACAGAATGCCATTTGATTTTATTTTTGTTATTTTTTTTTAATTTTTATTATTTATAGAAAAAGAAAATTACGCTATTCTGGAGTAATTCTTTTAAGCTCCTTTTTTTACAACTCCCATTTTAGTTAGTAAACGGGAATATTGCTATCCATGTATCCATGTGCTGTGAAAGTTTTCAATTATCCTCTTGTCTTCAAGTGCACTGACAAATACTTGTGGAGTGTTATTGAAATAAATTCACACTCACCACATTAGCAGTTTTAGCACTGGACAGTAATTTGTATTATACGAGTTTAATGTAGCAAGGAATCGAATGATCTTTTTCCCAAAAAATGTAACCTGAATCTGATAGGATTGAATTTCCATCACTATCATTACTCCAAGGAATTATCTCCCAGATAATGCCAAAAAGAAATATCCAAGCCCATTTGTCTGTATTTCCTAAATCTCCCAAATGACAAAGTGTTACCATATAATGTAACAGACTGATATGAATTCTAAAGCTTAACAGAGAGCCAAACTTTATTGAAGTCTTATGAAATTTCATCAGCTGACTGTTTATCATTGGTCTGGTTTGAAGTTTAAGACTATTGGACACAAAGTGCACTTTGGGGCATTATATAACGGTTTAGAGCTAGGCATTTGATTGATTCATTCTTTTCATACTTACTCTTTTTAGGCATTTATATGCTCTTCAACACCTTGGCTACAGAGTAACAAGTTGCACAAGTAAACTCTTTATATTCTCTTTTTTTTTCTACCCCAAACTTGTTGGAACAATCATTTAGCCACCACTTCCAACTCACAGTGGGTGTCCCACAAGGTTATTCAGTGTCTTCAACCTTCACGTTTATCTGCTGGGACGTTGCGTTTCATTACTTGATTTCTCAAACATTTCATTAAGATAATGACCCACAATTATTTTGCTATATTTACTCAAAAATCCATATGTTAACGCTCAGGCCTTGGACAACTTCCCATCTCTAACGTTGCAAACTTGGGAGTACATTAAATTTTTTTCTTTATTATTTTCTGACTCCAACAGTAACACACAGCATATTTCATGGTTTTTATATATATATTTTTTTTTTTTACTTTTGATGATTTATTCACATTTAAAACTTATATTTCTTCGTCAGTCAAATATTGGTACTAGTCCTTAAAATGAGAATAAAATTGAGAAATGTATAGTTAGGGTGGTAGTACAGCAGCTAATACAATTACTGCGAAAACAAAAAACTACAAATCTATTTTTTGAAAGACTGAAAATCGTATTTTACTTAGCAATTTGTTATCTTTTTGCAATTTGTCAGAAAAAAAATAAACAAAAAATGAACTCCAACATATAGGGGGGAAAGGTTCAGAAATGGCACCGAAAATTGGTCAAATGCTGGCAAAACCATAGGGACTCTAGAGAGGTAGCGTTGCCATCCAGACCTTGAATTATATTACAAGCAGTAGGCAAATGTTACTTGCCGAAGTGAAGGAGGTCTGTGCCATCAACTGACCAGTATGATCAGGGTAATAAATGAAAGTATGAAAATGAGTAAGACCCCAAACATACCTAATTGGTGCAACAATGACAACATCACTGGTGGCTCACCAAAAGGGACACAAGATAAACTGTTCAGCTGTTATATAGGGGCTTCTTTCCATGATGAGGCTATATTAATGTGTTTCATTAAAAATCCTTGTTTAATGTCAAGCAGCAGTTGCTAAATCCAGTAAGGTATTGTCATGCATACAAAGGGGCCTAAATTCTAGGCGCAAAATTTGGGCTACAAAACAAATAAGGGGAATGGAAGTTTTTAGCTGAGAAAAAAGGCTAACACATTTGTTTAGTTTTGAAAACTGTCAAATGCCAAATATATTCTGGGACAATACAAACCACAACCTGGACATCTACTCAAATATAGAACTATACATAGGACACCCATTAGGGCTGCAAGAAAATGTATTTAGTCTAAGGCAACGGAAAGGATTCTTTACAGTTAGAACAATAAATATATGAACTTCTCTGTGTGAAGATGTGTTTTTATCAAACTCTGTAAAGATTTCTAAACAGTGACTCACATAATTTTCAGGGATATAATATGTAATATGGGGTAACAGTTTATTGATCCAAGGAAAGAGCAGTCTGCCATTCTGAGGTTGATAATTTTTTCCTAGTATGTTGCAAGAAAGCACTTCTAACTGTGTTTTTCCTACTTTTAGATCAGCAGCAGAAACAGATGTGAGAAGGACACAACTTGATGGGCACAATATTTTTAAGCCTACGTATATTTATTCAATAACTTTTTAAAAAATGTTTTACTCTGCATGGGTTGAAGATTCAAATTTGAGGGTATCAGGAAACATAGTTTAACAATCAGGGTGATTACTTATCAATATTGTGTAATTGATATAATGTGTTATTTTAATGTATTTTATAAAATATGCTACAATAAATATAGGCAAGAGCATGTGTGGGGGATTAAAGTCAAACATTTTATAACACAGTGTATGATGGGATTTCTGATAAAGCAGGCACTTTAATTTTGAACATGGCCCATTGTAACTATTTACTAACCCACAACAAAAGTTCCGGGTATGTTGTGTGCCCATGCTCAGCATGTTATGCTGGACTCCCCTGCACATATTTAAGGATAGGAAATGGAACTGCTCCTGCTTATTTATGCTATCAGAGTGTTCCAGGGACTCCCAACAGTTTTACTTATTCATTTATTTGTAGCCCTGTAATTACCATGGTTTAAAGCAGCTACTGACAATTAGTAACTATTGACAAATACAATTTACATTGAAAAACAGCTACTATGGAAACTATCAAACTAAACTACAATTATTATTTTTAACCACAATAGATTGTTTAGTGAATCTATTCTTAATCTGCCTCAATTTCAGAGTTCACATTTCAATTCACGCAAATTCTGTGTTTACTGAATAAATGCTTTAGTGTTTTTTTGTTGTGCTTTATGTGAGGATCTGCCCAGGGCAGTTTCTTTATCTTAGCAGCCAACATTAAAATTCATGGACACGGCTTGATGGGGTGATTCAAGCGAGAAAAAATGTTGATGATGTCATATAACATGCAGTTGCCCTTTAAGAACCTGATTTTCCCAAGCAACAATTCTGTATTTACTAAAAGTTGCTTATGTGTTTCATTTATTATCCATATACAGATGCTTTGTGTAATTATTTATTTTTTTACACGTTAAAGGACCATAGTCCTCAATTTAAAAAAAAATATAATGTAATTGTTTTAACATGCCATCACATATTTTCTTTCTAATTCATGTACATTGCTTTTATTTTTAAGAAATCTCCTGTCTACGTTTGCCACACACCCTTTCTGACACACATCTCTATACATCAATCTTTATCCACCAGTCAGTTATCTAATCCGATGCTCACTATTTTGCAACTGTCCTTTGCTTCTCTGCACCATCAAACAGAAAATGCTGCAAGTAGAACAAGCACATGATTTTTAAAAAGAGACAGTTGCAAAATAGTGAACATTGAGTCAGATAAGGGACAGACTAATCAAAGGTCCATAAAGATGTTCAAAAAACATGAATAAAAGATAATTATGAGATGGTATATCATAACATAAAGTTTATATTACAAAACTCCTTTATTATGGTAAGGATCTCTTTTTACAAGAGTTAGGTTACAAATCATGGCACATTATTACAAAACTGTTAACTGAAATGATCATTTTTATTTAACACATTACATGCCAGAATTGGCAATACTTTGAATTCACTCTCTATCCAAGTTATTTGAAACTAACTTCATATAGCTTTTTAGCTGTTAAATTGCAGCTCTCACAATGTCTGACTCAGCATCATGGGAGCTGAAATCCAACAATAGGTCGAGCTCCACAATTTGACTGGTCATGTTTCAGGCTATAAAGAGAAAGCTGACAATGGAAAATACCTTTTCATGAATGTCACAAAGCTCTGCGGAAGAGAGATAACGATGCATAATGAGCTCCCAGTAACGAGGGAACACAGGAGTAGTAAAGAATTACAGTGGGATTGGAATCGATCTTGGATGAACAGTTTCTCTAGTCTAAAAGATGGGCACTTGGGTGTTTGTCCTGAACATTGTTTTAAATTTGCTATACAGGCCAAACAGAATAGCATAGGAAATATCACTCTCTGCTTTTCCACGCTAATGAAATTAATTCAGATTGTGATGTTTCTTCAATACCACCTGAAATATATATGACTTGTGTGGCTAGATTAAAGATCTCAATCATTAACACACAATGTAGTTATGTTTACAGGTTTACACCTTTAATGGCTTGTAATACGTTTAATACAGATAGAATTATGCATATGTTAAAATATAACATTCTTTCCTTCTTTGCAAAATGTCTTCACTTATTTGAGAGTTTTGCACGTGGTCTTCGTGGTTATATTTAGCATAAATTAAGGAATTCTTCCTAATCTGCTAGTTCAGGGCTGTCCAACAAGAGGGCTAAAAGAAAGATACTTAGAACTCAATGGAAATGGAACATTTATATAACATTGAAATTCCTTAAAGCAAAATACATTTTATAGGTAACCAAAGTAACAGCCTCAGGTTTGCATGGATGGATAAATGGATGCAGGGAAGAGGGAATGGAGTCTAGAAAAGAGGAATGGAGGGAGGGATTGATTCATGGATGATTGGCATGATGAATACAGTCGAAACATGCACAGGTAAAAACTGTCTAAAATGAAAATAGCCCCCAAACTTGTAACTGTACGTATGTTTCAGTGTACCTGAAGCATGAAAAAATATAATTAAACTCTTCAATTACAACATAATGCACCAATTATGTTAAATCGTCACCATGATGCACCAATTATGTTAAATCGGTCAGTTTATACACTTCTGGTAGGTATTTTAACATATCCTTCCATGAACCCCTGATGGTCTATTTACTAAACAACAAATTACCACCCAAAATTTGGAGTAAAATGCACTCAAACATTTTAATTAACAGCTGAGTAGTTAGAACAAATTGTATTGTACCCCAATCAGAGTAAAATAAATCAGCCAAGTACCTCATACTGCATCCTAACTTTGATGAAACCCTCAGTGTAAGGTATGCATTGCCAAAATGTATATTCCTTTAAAGCAGGGGTGGTTAACAGGTAGCTTTCCATTTGTTGTGCAAACTCAACATGTGGTTGGCAAAGCATTGTGGAAAATGTAGTTCTTGACCTGTTGGCTATCCTTGATTGAAGAATTATTTGTACCGTTTGCTGATGAGAGTGTATGGTGCTGGTTGAGACTCACTTATCCACATATGACAAGCCTAACACTTTCCCTCCATTACTTACTACAATGAGCTCTATTAAAAAGTCATTGTGCTTTAACAATTGGCGCTAATATCTTGCGCAGTCGATTGCCCCAAACATTTCAGAATTTTCTTTATTCTGGATATAGTCTACAGTCTATTAAATTATTTAGAGCTAAGTAAAGTAATAAAGAATACACACAAAGCAGTAAGGCATTGTGTAAAAGGCCTGAATTTCTTACTTTGCCTAGAACAGATGTTTTTAAAATGAAGAAAATCTGTAATGTGTGCGCTCTCACAATGCCTGCAAACTTACAGACAACTTCTTTCATATCACCGAATTTAACCAGAAATTATTTAGTTTTTTTTGCTGGTTTATAGATATGTACTTGAACCTTCACATTATCTAATAGATTACCATAGGGATAAGCCACACCAGATAATTATAACAATTTTAAAAAGCTATTGTCATTAACTTTTAAATTTCCATAAATAGTAAAAATACAAAATACAGCACTGCAGTATTGTACTTTCTCCTCCCTTTCTTTGGCCAAATCACTGACTCACTGATAATGAATGATAGCTGTTGAGAGCAGCTGGGCATGTGTAGAATTTAGGTTGTTTGTGAAAAAAGCCCAGTCTGAGCGTACCTCAGTCATGCTCAGTCTGCTCCTAGAGGTGATTTCTAAAGTAGCCCATTTAATCTCCAGTGTAGGGAGATATGTTGATTTCATAATTATTCCTATTCTGAACTCTTCAAGTTCCCAGTTTACACATACATTTGACTGTAATGTATCCTACCTTTCCAAGAATCTCTCCATTTGCTACACTCCGAGGAGAACCAAGAAAATAGATCTGCCTGACCCATTTGCAACCAAAGCTGAAATATTAGGAATTTATGTTGCTTTAAATTATCCCTACATAATATCCCATTGTACTACTAGTAAATCAGTGATGTGTGATAATGTCTAAATACCTCTACAAAGCAGTATTTGTGTCTACACACATACACAGACACTCACACACTATACATGTTTTTCAAATTTAATGATTTGTCACATCCAAAATGCATTCTGCTACGGGGAACAAACGTTGGACAGCCTTGATCTAGCTACACAGGAAAGCAAATATTTACCACTTACACACCTGCAGCATAAAATTCAACGAAGGCAATTACATAGCATTTAACTTCAACAATGGCAATTACATAGCATTAAAATGTAAATGAATTAGCAAACGAAGCATCTTTTGGCTCCTCCTTAACAGAACAGCATTAATCCATGCAACAATGATCTTAAAGTATATTTTTGTGACAGTATTTCAGGCAAGTATGGCATACTTTCCAAATTAACATAGATTTGCAAAGTCGTAAAAAAAATGTGTTTTGTTAGCCATTTAAAGGTTACCACTCCCATGACTTGCAGTAATACAGTGCTTGGCAGTATACATTGCTCGGCCATATCACATCATCATATGAAAAAAATGACTGAAGAATCAATAGTAAGTGGGCACTGCTAAACCCACTTTAAAACTGAAAAATAGGCACTGCCATGGGATCCTACTACTCAGAGCTGAAAATCGATCACTGAGGACAAAGGGTTCCCTGATATAATAATAATGGGAGTAATATAGTAACAACAATGCCCACATCTGCCTGCCCCAATTACAATGAAATAACATTCATACTTGGTACCCATTTCCTGAATTCAGAGTTCTGTTATTGATTAGCTTGTGCTCCTATATTCCTGAGGATCTGTTTATTATAAAACATGAGAAAGAGTAATACTTTGTGACATGATCCTGTTTAGTGCAAGGGTTACCAACAATGCATGGCAGGGCAGGCTTAGTCAGTTTATATATGATGAGGAATTTCAATAGTGTTCAGATGCATGAAGTACACTGTGCTTTTTTTCCTGCCTTTTAAAATAGACAGCTAAGCTGCTGTAGTTTGGTAATACCAATAATAGGATTTGCTTGTGAAAGTCCTGGTTGTGAACTTTTTAAGGTCTGAAGTGTGCATAGGTACTAGCAACTTTCTTCAATGGCTATAAGTTAATGGCAACGGCAAACACATTGACAATGCAATACATGGTTCGATTTTCCCATCGTACTGAGCAGCGGCCTAAAAATGAACAAAAGCAAAATTAGTACAATATTTTAACAAATTAACATTTTACATTTTTAAGTACATATTTTGTGTACAAAAATAAGGATTAATATAAAATGCATTATACTTTAACTTGACAAATAGCTCATATATTCATCCGCAAGATACCTTCTCAGATGTGTCTTTGAGGGAGCTTTGCCCAAATATGTGACACATTATCTTTCAGCAAAAAAATCAGTTATTTGAATATTAAAAGACTCCCTCCATAACTGGGTACCAGTGCGCCAGCATGGTCAAAATAGGGATGATCTAACAAATGTTTAAATGCTTAGGAATTGTTGCAAACAATAAAACTTTATAGCCCTATAACTTTCTGTTACCGTCTATCGATTCATACATGTTTCTTATAAGAATAAAAGTTTATATTGTGGCCTTTTTTGTTCTCATGCATAAAGTTATTTTTATAAATATCAAACAGGTGCTCTAAGATTTGATAAGGCATAGACTCCACAAGACCTCTGAATGTGTCCTGTGGAATCTGGCGGGGTGGAGCCTTCATGGATCGGATTTGTTGTTCCAGCACAACCCATAGATGCTCAATAGGATTGAGATCTGAGGAATTTGAAGGTCAAGACAACACTGTTCTTTTTTTGTCATGTTCCTCAAACCATTCCTGAACAATTTTTGTAGTGTGGCATGGTGTATTATCCTGCTGAAATAGGCCACTGCCACAGGGGAACAATATTGCAATGAAGAGGTGTATGTGGTCAGGAATAATTTCTAGGCAGGTGGTTTGTGTTAAAGTTATATCCACATGAATGCCAGGCCCCAAAGTTTCCTAGCAAAACATAGCAGTGCCTCTGCTGGCCTGCCTTCTCCCAATAGCGCATCCTGATGCCATCTCTTCCCAAGTTAAACAATGCACATGCAACCTGCTGTCCACCTGATCTAACAGAAAACATGATTCATCAGACTAGGCAACCTTTTTCCATTGCTCCATGGCCCAGTTCTGACACTCACAGCCCCATTGAAGATGCTTTCGTCAGTGGAGAGGGGACGTCATGGGCACGGTGACCGGAATAGGCTATGCAGCCCTATACACAGCAAACTGTGATGCACTGCGTAGCCTGACACCTTTTTACCATGGCCAGCTTTAAGTTTTTCAGCAGTTTGAGCTACAGTAGCTCTTCTGTATGATGGGACAAGACAGGCTAATTTTCGCTCCCCACGAGCATCAAAGAGCCTTGGTCGCCCATGATCCTGACGCTAGTTCACCAGTTGTCCTTCCTTGCACCATTTTTGGTAGGTACTAACTACTGCATACAGGGAACACCACACAAGACTTGCCATTTTGGAGATGTTCTGACCCATAAACAGGGTTCCTTGGTTGGATAAGATTTCTCTGGGGAATCCAACCCGGGAGAATATCTCAACCAATGAGTCGGCCACAGTTTCAGCATGGACATTGGAAAGAGCTACAGCTTCCGGATATCGGGTGACATAGTCGACTACCGTTAAAATATATTTTTTCCCTGAGGGGCTCGGCTTAACTAGGTGCCCTATGAGATCTACTGCTACTCGATATAAAAAAGGTTCATCTACTATGGGTAATGACCTTAGTTCCACTTTGGGATGGTCACCTCTATTTCCTACTCGCTGACACGTATCACAGGTTCTGCAGTATTATTGTAGTTCCTGAGTGACTCCTGGCCAGAAGAATGTGTGCGTGAGCCGGTGAGTTGTCTTTCAAATGCCTTAATGTCCCACTAGGGGAATGTCGTGGGTAAGCTTTAATAGCTTCATCTGATATTTCCGCGGTACTACCAGCTGTCTCTTGGGAATTTTTGCTGCCCCCCTCCTAACTCACCCTGTCACCCGGTATAATGGGTCTCCCACCCATTCAATACGTTCAGTCTCTAACCCTCCTGATGCCATCTCTGCCTGTCTGTGGTACCCGTATAGCTTAGGGTCTTCCTTAAGTTTCCTCATGAAATGTTGGGGGGTGTCCCAACCCAGGGGGATATGGTCAGTCTGGGACTGGGCATTTTGCCTTACCTACTGGTCCTCGGAGATCAGAAGATCGGTGTTCCGGGCTTGTTGTCAGGTGTTCACAGATCACACAGCCTCTGGTGGGGCTAGGGTAAATTGGGAGGTGAGGTGCCCTAAATCGTTTCCTAAGAGCACCTCCGCCGGTAAGTCTTGCATGATACCTTGTGGAAATTTAGGGTGCTCCGCTCCAAGGGAATGGGGCATACACATAAAACATACATAACTGGATAGCTCCTGGTCCCAGCTATGATCCCAGCAAATAGCGGAGCTATCGGATGTACAGAGCCCGAGAAATCGTCATATAAAGTCTGTGCTTTGAGGCTCTGTACATACCCGAAAATAGTTCCACAGAATCACTTGGTTTAGGCCGGTAGATTCAATCTTCGCGCATAAACCACGCGGCTGCCAATCAGGAAAAAGGTAGCAAAACCAATATGCACCAATCAGGGCTCAGGGAGGGGAGATGTTCCGCTGGCCAATCGGGAGAAAGTCAGCTCGTGCTTGCGTCTCTTTCCGGTGGATATCTCGTCCCATTAATGATTTGACCATTGGCCATATGTTACCCAGGGTATAAATTTGGGGTACATAGAAGAACTAGTTAAAACTTTAAATTTTGTCCATGGAAGAACTACTCACCCTGCCCTATTACCCCCTTTCAGTCAGTGTGCCTTTTCAGTTAGTATGGACTGAAAGGAATAAATATTGCCAGTTATCAGAACACTAAGGGCCTCTTACAAAAACACTGGCCTGGCTCCCCAACAAACATACCCGCTTACACCTACACACACACACACACACACACACACTTGTGATAATGTGATAATTGTTGTGAATTTTACGTTTAAAATTAAATAAGTCGAACAGGAAAAAATCTTCAACGCAACTATGTTTTCAGTTCACATATATTGACCAACAATTTTCACTTTAGTTAATAACCCTGACAGATATATATTCAGGTTAGTGCATCCCTAGCCATCTTTGGTTTCATTTATTTTAATTATTTTACTTTTTATATATATATATATATATATTGTGACAAATTACCTAGAAACCCTGTTATTCTTCTAAGTCCAAGTTATTTGTCCCCTTTATTTGGTAGTTCTATCTCCCAAACGTAGACCATCCCCAGGCTCATTATCTTCATATTAATCACAAAGTTAAGTACTCTCTCTGGTTAGCCACCATCCGAAAGACATGTGCTCTGGAAAATGGTGGCCATCTTGTCCCCCAAACGCAGGCAGCAGTACTTGATCGAGTGTCTGGAACTCCAAGATGGACACTATAACTCGCTAACACCGGTAACTTTGTACCGCTGTAACCGCTGGTGGTTCCCTTATTTACCACTATAATGTCTTAAAGCATAGAACTTAGTAGGGCTAACCACACAGATATCTTAGCCATAATTTTATATAGTGTAAGAGATCCTCTATTTAACATATATAAATAATTGAGAATACAATATAAAATAAGGATTGTCTTGGAAGCAAGATTGTCTTTTGGATCAATAAACAGTACATCAGTAATGTGGCAATAAGCAAATGCTTATGATTACTAAACACATGAATTACAGTATTTCCCATATTGTGACCACCAATATTCCTTTACAGGAGTCAGAAGTACATTACCTCTCTCTATAAGAGCTTGTCCTAGCCATGAAAAAGCTTTTAGGGCAAGTCCATCTTTCCTCTATAGGAAGAACAACCAACATATTACCTTCAATGGTTATTATGTAATTAACCCCTCTAAACGATAGGAGTATTTATGCGGATACCAGGTGGATAAGGTCTGGATATCCTTGCAAGCATAAACTCTGCATCATGACTGAGAGATAGGGTATGCTTTTGTGATCCAATGACCACAGAAAAGCGTTGGTAGACACATTGCATCAAAGTGCCTGTTAATGACCAACTAGATGAGGAGAGGGACCATGCTTTGTTATAAGCATGTCCATACACGTATTACAATGCCAGGCTTTCAATTTGTTTCCACAAAGCAAAATGCAGTTGTGGATATAAACTCACGACGTATCGTAAGAAAAACTGTTTGAACACCAGACTGAGATTCGAGATCCGTGAACAGTGAACCAAAATAGATAAATGAAATCCTATCAATTAATATACTTTCAATATACTTTATTTAAATTACTTTATCCTCTGTATTAACTATGAAATATTAAAGTTAAAACAATAACATTTAAAAGCCAACTTTTAGTGTGCATAGGAATTACAAGGCCGTTCATAATGTGAGATAAAGAACAGCTTTTTTAAAATCCGAATAGTCTGTGAACACAAAATGACCTTGCGCTGAAAACTCACTTGCAGGGGAAAAACAAAACCACTTCTTTTTTCTTTTCCTTTAGTAAATTAATTAATTAATTAAACGTAGTTAGAACCTCCCTCAAAGTCCCGATTACTTTGCAAGAAACATGTCGTCCTTAAATACTGGGTAAGTCTATTAAACAGTGACATAGCATTGTTACCATGTGTATTATGTTGTCACAGCTATAATGTGCAGTATAACAAACTATTTTATAAGTGTCGTGCAAACTGTTCATTAAATCCCCCAAAACAACAACTTTGCATTTATGCTAAACCTGCCTGTTGTAAACGGATTCTGTATATTTCTTGTCATAAGTACTTGTACTTAAATCTGTTTAACAAAGCTGTTTATATTGTGACTGTTTATATATTTTTTATTATTATTATTTATTTTATTTTTGTATTTTTTTTAACATTGCTTAATTTTTAAAGATACCTGCATATTTAATTAACTATCCTGTATATGTCTTTACTGCATAAAATATCTGCATATTAAGATTATATACAAAAATGCATGTTCTGGGCGTTCCTGTGATTCCTTTTCTATCATTTATTTTTCTTTAAGTCTGTAATCTGATTCCTTTTGGGATGAGCACCCCTCTGAGCCCCCCAGTTTCAGAGGCTTCTTTAGAAGTGACCACTGAAAAGTATAGATTCTATAAAAAAAAGTCACCTTAATTATACTTTTCATATAGCAGATATGTGATATGCAATGTGATTTAATATATCAGAGTATTATCACTTTAATTGACATAGCATTTTTTTATGCATTATTCTTTTTCTTTTTTTCTTAAATTTTAATGTCTGTTTAGAATATTGCAGCCTTGCAATATCAAATTAATTTTGCATTATATATATTCACAATGCTATTACAACATATTATTAAAATTAGCCTCTTTCAGAATTGTAGAATATGTGGTGGAACTGAATCCTCATATATGAGATTTGAAACTGTATTTTTATATCTACTCTGTGCCCTAATCTGTATTTATATACATAATTGCGGCAGCATATAGCTTTTAAAGAAGCAATTATTACACCCATCATGTGTGGTGATTGCGGACTTTTTAAAACCTACTTTTTATTTTTTATAAATCTGTTTCTGGCTTTGAGAGAGCAGGCTGCTGAATGCATGTAAATGCTCTTAATGCTTAGTCTCTATACATTTATTTATTTAATCGTATTTTATAAAAACCTAGTTTATGAAATTCACTGAGATTACATGTGTTTGATCTGATTACAGTCAGTAGTACAATATAATTGTTCTAATTTCTTTACTGCTAGTACGGTGGGATAGTACCACTGATTTAAGTAAGCTTTCCCTTTTAAAATTGATGGACTTTAATCCTGCCATTGCAATAGACTAAAGACTGTACCTGAGTAAGCAAAGTCATTATGTGCAGGAATTGTGCACTTTAAATAGTAGAATACTTATGCTATTCTAGTGAATTGGGCTGGCTGCTTAACACCTCATTTAATATATTTTGGTCACATTTAAAGCTGTAAATGTATTTAAAAATGTTATTTAAGCCTTTAATAATTTCAGTTTAAAAGTTATTAGAGATCCTGTATAGTTACCATTTTATTTAGCCCTGATTTATCTTACATATATATTATTTTTAATTATTTTCTAAATATTTAATTTTTTGCTGAGCATTTAGAGAAGCAAAGGATGTATAACCACCTGTTGCCCTTTTTTCTAGAAGGGTAGTATAATTTCAACTCTGTTTAGGAAAAATATAAGCTAGTTATCTTATATTATATAATATATATGCTGCAGTGTACTGCATTGTACTGCACTCAATGTATTTAATAGCCATGTCTTTCTCTCTATGGCTGTATGTAATAATGTTGTTCATAATTTGGAATATAAAACAACGACTTCTCAATTCCTTGGAATGTTTACATGTCTCTGTATCTCTGCAACCTTGGCTGGAAATTCCAGACTCCAAAAATAGTTATGCTGTTATAATTCCTGATTTTTAATCAACAGCTAGTGTAACTGACAATATCAAAATTATCACTGTTTTATAAAACATTTCTTATATAGTGGACATTAGAATCCAGAATGCAGTAATGCAATAATTAAAAATCCTGTCTGTCTGTTGCTTATGTGGCATGAATGTTTTCATTAAGCCATAATGCAATTTTCTTTGCATTCTTGGAAATAGACTTCAAATTTCATCGCTCTGTCTTATCACTTTTCTTTTGACAACATTTTGCATTAATCTTTTTCCTGCGCATGCATACTAAGCAGCTACAAAGAGAACATATCCCCCTGTCTGCAATCCACTGTCCTGGAACTAACGGGCCATGCTATGCTGGTGTATTAGGCATTTGTTCTATTATGATATTAGTTAAGATCCACAATTTCAGCATTGTATGCTAATTACGTTGTACCTGGCACCTAAACTCACAGTGCCTTGTTCACATTAAAATCATCTCTAATGATCTCTCTCTGAGTCTGGGCTACAAGTAGCTCAATAGATTCTTGATATTTCAAGACTTGTGCCATGACAAAGTATTGTGTCTTCTCTTACGTATAAGAGGTTACCTAGGTATTTATTTTATATTTAAAGCTTCCAAGTACAAAGTCCCTTCGTGGTCGCCAATTGTAACCGCTGGTGGTTCCCTTATTTACCACTATAATGTCTTAAAGCATAGAACTTAGTAGGGCTAACCATACAGATATCTTAGCCATAATTTTATATAGTGTAAGAGATCCTCTATTTAACATATATAGATAATTGAGAATACAATATAAAATAAGGATTGTCTTGGAAGCAAGATTGTCTTTTGGATATTTATTATATAAAAATATAAAATCCATTATAGCAGAGTTTATAAGATTTAAATTACATGCTTGCAAATATCATTAATAGGTTAACATACCCTTCTGAACATGTCATCATGTCAGCCTCTCTGTCATTTTAAGATGGAGCAGCGTCTGTCTCCAAGTCTCTCCTCTGTGTCTTAACATTTAAAAGTACACCTATTTATACCTTAGGTGTCTCCATTTTAAGGTTACTGTAGTTCAAATATGAAAAAGTAACACTTCTTTTACTTTATTCAATTTAGGACCTCCCTTAATTTGGCAAACATACAAGGCCATAACTAAAGGGTGTATACGTCATGGAAATTTTCCTGACTTAGTTCAAGATGGCATCTTAAAGTCTGAATAGGTTATCTGTTGTTTATACTAAGTCGTAAGTGTACAGTCGTGGGAGATTCCCGGATTTGGGGAAGTTCCATTAACTTGGGGTTACCACAGTATATTGTGTACTGCAAGTGTCGTAGCATAGCCTTGAAGCTTGTTTATGCATTATTGTTATTGTAATTCGTCTGGGACAAAATGGCGCAAACATATTATGCACTGAAGTTATTGCTTAAAGAAACAGTTATGAAAAACAATATGTTCCATTTCTAACACCTTGTCAGTTTGCAATATCTCTTAAAGACAAAGTACACAGTTTAAGAAATACAACATTTCATTCTAAAACTTGTAATATTTGCATTTGCCCGTAACACCGCCGCCTGCTTCTATTCCCGAAAAGCCAGGAAAGCGCTCTTCGGTGAAAAGATACACACAAACTAGACAAACAATCGCTACCTATGAACCAAAGGAACCGTTCGGTATTTTGTTCATTTTGGGACTCCCGAAAGTGACCGCTACCACTTTTCTTCTGGAACTATTTTGGGCAGACACCACATGTGCGGTCGGTCAAAACTTTACTCCTGTGGCGATTTGGCTGTATTTGTGGGGTCTGAGCGCTATTTGGACACTTTGGGCACTAAGATCCAAGTTATCTGGGAATATAAGACTTGTGGGGGTCCCTATTAATATTATGTATGTTTTGGCGTGTTTTATGTTTCTTTCCTTGTACCTCTAGTGCCTGGGAGGTAATTAGTTTAAGTAAAGTAAACTCACTTATCACCCAGACACAGAGACGTCTGGGCCTGTTTTTCCTATACTTTTGCTGGAGACCCCATGCTGGGGTTCTCTGTATAAAAGTGGGCCATCTGGCCATAATAAAACATTCCTGTTATACCCTTCATCAAGTCTCGACTGATGTTTGGGTATGCGAATGACGGTGCACTTTATTTCTCACGACCTGGTTGGATTTTTGGAGAGTATGAATGACCGTACTATACGAACGGGCTATAATTTACACTTCCTTATAGGAGTTCAGGAGAGTGCGAACGAACGTACTATACAAAGTAGAGCGGGTTCGTTACACACACACACACACATACATATATATATATATATATATATATATATATATATATATATATATATATATACACATACATACACACACACAGACAATATATATTTATTATATATATATATATATATATATAACACAGATACACACTGCCAAACAGTCACACTAAAATACACATGTCCCACCCTCTGATATGTATTGTGCTGCAGATGACTGTATATAAACTAGCACATGTAGCAAAGCCTGTTCCCAGTAATAGGAAATAACACAGTGCATGGTTCCTTATCAGCATGAATCCTGGATAGTTTTATAGGGCATGATCTATACATCAAAACCAGTTAATTGAGCTAAAGTTGTTTTGATGCTTAGAATGTCATTTCAACTGAGAGCAGCTGACTGTGACAGCTTCATTGCTTTAAGAGTTGAGCTACAAGATGCAATCATGTGAAAGCACAGGTATGCAGCCTAGGCTTCTTTACATGAGTCAGTGTAGATGGTGACTTGTCTAATGTGAGCATTTTGAGTGGGCTTATTCTGTACTAGGACAGGTAGAGAGGAGCCTCTTACCAAAATATCCAATGCAAACAGTTATGGTGCTTGCAATATCCCTTTAACATTGATTAGAAGAAAGATTTTTTCTAAAGTGAGAGTTGTTCACTTTAAATTACAGACAATTATCACTTTAGAAAATAACCATTAATTAACTGTGCTTGAAATTATTATTATTACTAATTTATTTATTTTTATTTATATAGCGCCAGCAAATTCCATAGCGCTGTACAATGGATGGACTAACAGACACGTAATTGTAACCAGACAAGTGGACGCACAGGAACAGAGTGGCTGAAGGCCCTGCTCAATGAGCTTACATGTTAGAGGGAGTGTGGTATAGTGACACAAAGGGTATAAGTAGGGGTAATGAAATAGGTTGCTAGAAAAGTATTCACTGGGAACTTAGTAGGTTATTTTTGACAGTTGCAGGAGAGGAGTCATGGGGGGTGGTGAGGGGGAATGGAAATCTGCTAACAGTTTAAATGATATGCTTTCCTGAAGAAGTTTATTTTCAAATATTTTTGAAGGAGTGGAGACTGGGTGAAAGTCTAACAGAGAAGGGAAGGGAGTTCCACAGAAAAGGTGCAGCCGTGGAGAAGTCTTAGAGGCGAGCATCAGATGTACGGACAGAGGATAGGCGGAGGTCTTCGGCAGAGCTTGGGAGCCTCGACGGGACATATTTGTAGGGACATGTAAGCAAGCACCAGAATCTTAAATTGAGCCCTATATTTAACTGGAAGCCAATGTAGGAACTGACACAGAGGGAGGCGTGGGAGGTGTGGGCGGACAGGAAAATGATCATTGCCACCGCCTTCATTATAGGCTGCAATGGGGCAAGTTGGCAACACGTGAGACCACTAAGAAGGGGATTGCAGTAGTCAAGGCGAGAAAGAACAACGGCATGGACCAGCACCTGCGTCTGGTGTTAAATAGGGGCGGATGTGAGCTATGTTTTTGAGGTGGAATTGAACCTTAAACCTTGAGGTTTGAATAGGATTTACATGTAATCGGTGATGTGGTGTTTCATATTTGTTTTCTTTATATAAATGAGAAATTATAATAATTACTTGTTTACTAGTTTTCATTCTGGAAATTATAAAACATAGCTGTGCATCTCTATATGTAATGAATTTGCTTCTAAATATACAGTAGAAACTACATTTTACCAAAAAGTTTAACATTAAATGAAAAAAAAATGTAATGTTGGAATACAGTTATTTTTACTTTCTTAATAGCTGACATATTTTTTTTTAAATTAAATTGAATATAACATTTTACCATCAGTGTTGTTATCCCAAAATGAAGAACTTGCTGTGTGCAGCCCTCCTCCTCTTTTCTGCATGACAATACAGGACACTGGAAATTACACAAAGACGGCAATGAAAAAAATGTCACATTTGAAAGTAAAAAAAAAAAAATTTTAAAAAATTGAATACTCAAGAATAGCAAAACTAAAATAATTATAATGAGCACATTCCATCAAAACAAACACAGTGTGCAAGTTTGAAATGGCAATAAGAAATCAATTCCTGGCACTTGAACACTCCCATGGGTGTCACACTGCATTATCAAAATGTTACTCCCTACTACACATGTAATAGATTAGGACAGGTCAGCATACATTGCGGTTTATTTACTAACGTGATCGGGGGTGAATGAAAATCAGAACGATGGCAGAGAATTGAGCAGTAAGAGGGCAGTGCCATGATCCATACACCCAAACTGCTTCATTAAGATAAAGTGGTTTTGATGCCTTTGTTGATGTTTTAAATAATGTTACTCTTTTTTATCTAAAAGGTCTCCGGAGTGAGGGGGTTAAAATCCAAAGTACCAAGGTTAAACTTACCAATGTATTTATATGCCTTCCCCATCTTTACAAGGTGTGTTAATGACTGTTCCACCACTGCAGACATCCACTCATTGACTCTGTTTTCATCATAGTCTACTCCACCCAAGATGACCTCTACACACTGCAAAGATTCCAGACACACAAATATTAATTCATAATTATACACTGTTTGTATTCAATTATTCCCATATTAGTTATGTTTCTTAAAAGGGACACTCCGGACCCCTAACGCACTTTAGCTTGCTAAAATGCTTTATTTGTAAAGACTGTGTCCTCTTTTTTTTCATTTTACAAAACGTTCAGAATAGAAATAGTCATCCCCCACCTCCCCCCCCCGGCTGTCAATTAGACAACAGGTCCAGTTACTTCCTGGTTTGGTTAGCTCAGTGTAGAGGCAAGAGGCAGACATTTGCCCAGACACCTGCCTTGCAGAGACTTCTCATTGAGCTGCATTGACAGTTTGCGATTGGACATCCACAGAAAGTCTGAGCTGGGCTTGCAAAGTCTTTAGGAAAGAGATGCTTTTGCAAATGTACCCCCAATGGAAAAATGCATAATTAAATGCATGCATGTTTTTATTTGGGGCATATTTAATTAGCAGTGATTTATTTTTTTATTTTGGCAGTGAAATGGCCCTTTAATCTGCTTCAAGGTGAAGAAACCAGGGGACTCCAAGCATACAACCAATTCAATGAGATGAAATGGTTGTAGTGCCTAGAGGGTCCCTTTAAGTTTAAATCATGAAGCCATTACGAGATATATGCTTGACTGTTTATTTTAGCAGTGCTGTAACTGGCTGTGTAGCTAAGTACTTCTAGGCCTTGTAAAGAAAGCTAAACTACAGACAATTAACCATAATGGTTATTACTGTAACCCATGTTAAGACTTGTGTTATTTACGTATGCGTTATTTACTTAGGGATGCCCTAGCTAGGTCTCCCTTCCCGTCCTTTAAAAGGTGCGAAAATACTGTTTAACTTACCTTGAATTCAGCACAGAGAGCGGTGAAGCTCTCTGTGCAGATTTCCCTCTGATGTCAGCAAGAGCATTTGAATGGAACGTTTCTCCGGCTCAGAGCGCATGCACACATGCTACTCTTGCTAGCTGGAGGATGTCACTCCATTCCGATGCTAATATGCTGGCAATCTCGTCATCATGAAGAAGGATTTTCTTATTCGGTAAGTGTTTTAAGACAGAGCTAATCACATCACAAAGGTGTAAGGGCAAGGGAAGATCAGAGAGTGGGTGTCACCCACCAATTTAATATTTTAACACTGACAGGCAAAGGAGCAAGCAGTGGAAGGTAAGTATGTATATAACAGTTGCTAAAGCCAACAAATATACATATAATTTATATTTATGATATGAGCACCAGTTGACGTTAAAGGGACACTGTAGGCACCCAGACGACTTCAGCTCATTGAAGTGGTCTGGGTGCTTTGTCCCTTTTGCACCTAGTGTTACAATGTAAAACACTGCAGTTCCAGAGAACTCCAATGTTTACATTGCAGCACTAAGTCTGCCCTCAGTGGCTGTCTATCAGACAGCCACTAGAGGGCTTCCTGAATCGAAACGGACCTTTGGTCCGTTATCTGACACTGGACGTCCTCAAGCTGTGCACGAGGACCTCCAGCATCACATTTTTTTTCCCCATAGGAACGCATTGAATAATTGCAGCGCCTGTGCCTTAGGTCTCCCCCGCCGGCTGGCAGCGGCGGAGGAGCATGGGCGGAGCCTGATTATGATTCAGGTAAGTGACTGAAGGGGTTTTAACTCCTTCAGCACTGTAGGAGGGAGGGTGGGGGAGGGAGGTACCTTAGAAACCTATAGTGCCAGGAAAGTGACTTTGTTTTCCTGGCACTATAGGATCCCTTTAAGAAGGAGATCCTTACATAAGAGATGGGCACAATGCCTGGATGAGCATTATAGGGGTTGTAATGTACCTGCTTGGCAACATATTATAATGCCTTGCCTTAGATAAAATAGTTTTCTTTAAACAAAACATTCTAAATTCTATAAACCAGCACTAGTGCTCATACAATTCGTTGCTATCAGTGGCGTACATACTAGGGCCCGGCCCACCAGGGGGCCCGGCCGTCCTGCGACTCGGTATGCACGCCAGTGTGGCCAGCCTCTTCTTCTGGGGGGCCCAGGAGCTGGCCACCTCAGGGCCCCCCCGAGGCTGGACCTGGTGTCACCGGGCTGGCTGGCAGGCGCGTGAGAGAGCACTCTCCCCTGAGCGCTCTCTGCCCAGCTCCCTCGTGCACCGCGTACTGATGACGTCATTCCGGCTCCGGCATCAGTACACGGCACGCGAGGGAGCTGGGCAGAAAGCGCTCAGGGGAGAGTGCTCCCTCACGCGCCCGCAGGACTGGCCGCCCAGCAGCACCACTGGACCCCAGGGAATCCCCTCAGCTCTCCCAAAGGTAAGGAGGCTGGGGGATTACATTTTTTTAAAAAGTGTTTGTGTATGTGTGTTAGTGTTAGAGTGTGTGTGTGTGTGTGTGTTAGTATTAGAGTGTATGTGTGTGTGTTAGTGTTAGAGTGTGTGTGTGTGTGTTAGTGTTAGAGTGTGTGTGTGTGTGTCTGCTAGTGAGTGTGTTAGTTTGTGTGTGTCTGTTATTGAGTGTGTGTCTGCTAGTGAGTGTCAGTGTGTGTGTTAGTTGTGTGTCAGTGAGTGTGTGTCTGTGAGTGAGTCTGATGTCTGTTAGTGAGTGTGTGTTTGTCAGTGAGAGTGTATGTTTTGTAAGTGAGTGTGTATGTGTGTCTGTCTGTCAGTGAGTAGGTATGTACGTCGCTGAGTGTGTCTGTTAGCTAGTGTGTATGCGTCTGTTCGTGAGAGTGTGTGTGTTTAAAACCCCTTCAGCACTTACCTTTCTCCAGCGCCAGACTCCCTTGGTGCTGGGGATCCCTCTGCCCCGTTCCGCCTCTCAGCTCTGAATGCGCATGCGCGTATTCAAACCGCCAATAGGAAAGCATTACTCAATGTTTTCCTATGGACGTCCAGCGTCTTCTCCCTGTGACTTTCACAGTGAGAATTGCGGAAGCACCTCTAGCGGCTGTCAGTGAGACAGCCACCAGAGGCTGGATTAACTCTTAGTGAAACATAGCAGTTTCTCTGAAACTGCTATGTTTCCAGCTGCAGGGTTAAAACTAGAGGGACCTGGCACCCAGACCACTTCATTGAGCTGATGTGATCTGGGTGTCTGTAGTGGTCCTTTAAGTGTGTGCATCTGCATGCACTGGCGTACATACCGCGGTCGCAGCCCTGCGACCCCTGCGACCAGGTGCCCGCCGCCATGTGTTGCGGCCCCGGCCCGCGCAGAGTAAGAGCGGGGGGGCCCACGAATCAATTTTCGCACCGGGGCCCCATGGGTCGTGTGTACGCCACTGGTTGCTATAGTTTATCCTAAAACATCTCAAATCACAATGATACCAATTCAAGCCTCTTTAGAATATGTATTATGAAAAGTCTCTGTTCATCCTTTTCTCCATGGAATGAATAGACTGATAAAAACCACTTAATGAATGCCGCTGTTATATTCTCACTAGCTATGCTCTCTGCTTGCCATTATGCAATGTTGTTTACACAGACACAACAGAGGCTTTCTTTAATTGGGTGACTAGATGTCTCTGTAAATGAGTGATGGCTAGAGAACATGTATACTACTGAGCAATTTTAAAATCAATGCTACTGGTGGGGTGCTTAAAGAAGAGATAATCAGACTGCATTCTACAATTTATTTAATACAATTTAAAGGATAACAAACAAAGTTTTGTACAGTTATCCTATACATTTCACAAATGTGTTTTCGCGATAGAAATCCCTCTATCTTAGAACTGAAAGCTTAGCTCCCTGTCAATCCCTGTAGTGCCCTTTGCACGGGGCAGTCAGTATAGAGAAAACACAAAGAGAGGAGAAACAGAAACAAAGGTGGACGTTTATTAAAGTGTCGTCAACATTTTAGATCTACATTTTTGGCAGAATTTGTTAACCCTGTCTTTTTTGAATATACCCTGTTTTTTTGACGCAACAGATTTATCAATCTTTTCATCACTTTTCCTGACAGAAATGTGTCCTGTTTAACTTATCTTTTGTTCCGTCACACTAAATTTGGCCTATTTCTCAAATGGTAATTTCTGTAAAAACTGGCAGAATTTACTAAGATGAAAACAGTCACTTTCGAGAGTACTTTCAGAGCACTTTAATATAATCAAAATAATGAGGGAATTTAATTGTCACTTCCCTTTGATAAATTGCCACCATTCTTCTCTTTCTCCTCCTTCAGCGTAATGTGGTAGTGAGTCCTGACTGTGACATGATAAAACAGGATTGCGATGCCAATTGTTAAATCTTATATATATATATATATATATTACACAATTCAGCACATTCACTTATTCACTAAACAATGATTTCAAATCTTACAGATTGTAATAGTTTTATTTAAAAACACCTCACCTAGACAAAAAAAATAATGGGGGTTTAGTTACATTACATGATCATATATTGCATAAGCCTGCCACAACATCAATGTACTCCATTCTTGGCAGGTCCTACTCTATATATATATTTCTCTTTGTACATGCTGGGTCCTCAGTAATTCCAGCATAAACTGGCCACCTGGGAGTGATAGGTCTGTGATTGTTGTCAGCATGTTCAATTAATGCCAGATTTGTGTAAAAATTGTGTTGCTTTTTCAAAACTTTAAATATACAGAATTTTTGGCAATCGACCCAAATGGCCACCGATAATTTGGAAAAAATTATATTGGTCGATACCTACTCTATACTATGCCAATATAGTTTTTTTCTCTCTCTTCCGGGAGAGCTAGGAAACTTGGCTGAAAAGGGGACTTGTGCACATTTTAGGGTCTATTTTGTCTAATACTCACATAGCATTTGGATTTTTTTAGTTTAAATTTCTATATTTTTACCTAAAATTAAAAGATATATTTTTCAATAATGATACCTACCTCTTTCACAATGCTGCTGGCTTCATCCGCATTAAATGTGCCCTGAAATAAAACATTTAATTAGATGACTAATAATTTTGCTAAAACACAGCAATGCAACTCTACATAATATTCATAAAAACATGAAAAAAAGAATTATCTGTACAATGCAAACAGAGGTCACCCAATATACACAGATCCTGCTTACCATGCAAATATAAAATCCATCAGTCACATTTACCTTAAATAATGTTGAAGAGGGTTAAAAATAAACACACCCAAAGGACAAGGCATCATTGCAGTATCAAATACAGCCTACATAATGAACACTCTATTTACTGTCTCCACGTGGTCATCGTTCAGGACCACAAAGTCATGCATCACAAGCCTAAAGTATAAATGTATTTTTATTTTGGCTTACTGTTTTAAAATTATTCCCTTCTGGGCTTATTGAGACAATGCAATATCAGGGCCAGAAATAGGATAAAAAAAAAAAATATGATTAGGCCACAAGATTATATTCTAACTCCAAACACCCATGAAATACTGGTTATAGTGTTTTGCTTGGATGGAATGCAATAACAATTTTAAGCACGCAATTATGGAGTGACAGTATGCCTTTCCTAATTTTGAAGAAAATGGTTAAAGCGACACTGTCAAAGTCGGGGCCCTCTGCCGAATTACCAAAATCCCCAGATGGTAATATCGCCATCTTCAGCGCGTTGCTCCTATTCAACGCAGCAGACATCACTGCTGTACTCTCGCACATATGCAGGAGTACAGCACTGAGGTCCATGAAAGATCCTACGAGACCTCAGGATCCTCCACAGACCCAGTCAATTCCCTGTAGCCGTCACTTCCAATTCCCTGCAGCCACTCCGCCTTGTGTCAGAAAGTGTCCGGCGGAGGATAAATACAGAGGCAAATTAGTCCCTACTTTGTCTCTGTATATCTCTTGACTGGGTTGGAATGTCAGTGAAATTCCAACACAGTCTTAATGAGAATGTCATACAGATTCTATATTTATGAAATACTAGTTGTTGACAGTGCTGCTTTAAGTTTTTATCATTATTTACAGTAAAATATTACATATTATTATAGCTTTTGTGTTTGTAATATTTATGTTACGTGTATCTGTTTTTAATAATGGAGAAATTACAGCCTTATAATTAAAGTGCAACAAAACAGTATATGTAAATTATATCATTCCCAAACTGTCACTGAACTGCATGTATGCGGCAACAGAATGGCAAAAACAATGTATATATTCAGATTTTCATAAAGATTTGAATAACAATAGATAACATGTAACAGTTTCATAATGTTGCCATCTGCTGGTAGGCTGTCTACATAACACTAATAAACAACCCCAAAAACAAAAAAAACTTCTGAAAATGTCATTAAGATATAATCTTTATGAAATACTCATATTGACTGTGTAGGAATTTTAATGACATTCCAGTGGAATCTAAAGATATCATATAGCAGGGTAGGGACTACTTTATCACATCCCAGCAGCTGATGCTGGCAACAACTGTAGAAATCAGGCAACATTTGCACATGGTGGGATGTGATCTATGGGAGTGGGAGTGGGGTACTTTCACAGGAGGAGCGAAAGGAACAATTGATGCAAGGGAGGCTAATTTAAATAAAGTGTCTCTGTAATGCCAAAAGAAAACAAAAGATTTTAAATGTTGCAGGGTGTTTGATCTATATTTATATTTAAAGGATCACTATAGGGTCAGGAACACAAACATGTATTCCTGACCCTATAGTGTTAAATCCACCATTTGGCCCCCATGGGCCCCTCATGCCTCCATAAATATAGTCAAAATCTTACTGTATTTAAACCTGAAGCTGTAAATCTGCACGCTGTTAGACTCAGAAAAACAAGCTGTCTGCTGACATCATCAGAAGTGGTAGCCTGATCCAATCACAATGCTTCCCCATAGGATTGGCTGAGACTGACAAGGAGGCAGATCAGGGGCAGAGCCAGCACAATTCAAATACAGCCCTGGCCAATCAGCATCTCCTCATGGAGATGAATTGAATCAATGAATCTCTATGAGGAAAGTTCAGTGTCTGAATGCAGAGGGAGGAGATACTGAATGTTTGGAAGCATTTTAGGCAGTCATGAACCAGGAAGGATCTCGAACAGCCATCGGAGGAGTGGCCAGTGAAGTTATCACTAGGCTGTAATGTAAACACTGCATTTTCTCTGAAAAGACAGTGTTTACAGCAAAAGGCCTGAAGGTAGTGATTCTACTCACTAAAAACAAATTCAATAAGCTGTAGTTGTTCTGGTGACTATAGTGTCCCTTTAAAGTTGCCTGTGACACCAACCATGACAGAGCGATGCTGCAAATTTGTATCTGTCATAGTTCACCAGTTGAAAAAATATAATGAAGAAATATATTACATTTAATGTGGCGGAGGAGCATTTTTTTTCCTAACTGCAATAAAGTTTCAAATGGCTGACTAATAGTAAATAAATATGGAAAATGTACTCGGAATACCAGATGAGAAGAATGGGCCACCTAAGGACAAGGACAGAATAACTTTATACCTACATAGGAAATAGATTTTGAATGTAGTGAAAATTATCTAAAAACAACAAAGTAATTTCTGCAAAAATATTTGCATTAAGACCAGTGTCACTCTACATATATTTATTTTTTTACACATACACAATTTTCACTCCTATAAAATCACTTAATTACACATGCATACATTCACACTTTTTATACATGCTAAGAATAAGGTATGAGTGACAGGGTTATCACTATAGTGAGAATTTACGGCGCCAGAGCAGGGGGGCGCAAAAAACTGAATCCTCTGCTTTCTAATTGCCTGTCTCCCTGCAGCGAGCAGTCAGTGAAGTCAGCCTCTCCTGATGATGTCAGGCGGAGGGGGCGTGACTTCCACTGCTCTTCTCCCAAATTCCCCAGCAGATTCCTGTGGAAGTCAAGCCCCCTCCTCCTGACATCATCAGGAGAGGCCAACCGACTTCAAATATGATGGCTGCAGGCTCCAGCTCCTGTCTCACCCCTCCCTCAGGGAGGGGGGGAGGGATACATTTTTGTTTTTTTAATCCAATTTTTTTTATTTTTATTATTTATTTTACCAGCCCCTGTCCAACCCCCCTGTGCTCCCCCTCCACAGCTCATATTAACTTCTAGAGCTTCAGTGCCCCCCTCTCAGTTCCTTTGCCCCCTCCTCACCACTCTAGCTTCTGTCTCCCCCTCTCCAGCTTCAGTCCCCCCTCCCTCTCAAGCTCCTGTCCCCCATCTCAAGCTCCCCCTCAAGCTCCTGCCCCCCCCCTTTCCAGCTCCTGTGCGCTCCCTTCTCCAGCTCCTGTCTTCCACCTCCTACAGCTCATGTGTCCCCCTTCTACAGCTCATGTGTCCCTCCTCTATAGCTCGTGTCACCCCTCTATAGCTGCTGTCCCCCTCTAGCTCCTGTCCCATCCCTCCAGCTCCTGCCCCAACCCTCCAGCTCCTGCCCCCTTTCCAGCTCCTGTCCCACCCCCTCTCCAGTCCCTGTCCCACCCCCTCTCCAGCCCCTGTCCCCTTCCAGCTCCTGTCAACCCCTCTCCAGCTCATGTCACCAGCTCCTGCCCCCCACTACAGATCCTGTGTCACCCTTTTACAGCTCCTGCCCCACTTTCCAGCTCCTGTCCCACCCCCTCTCCAGCCCCTGTCCCCTTCCAGCTCCTGTCTCCCTCCCCCAACTACAGCCCGTGTCCCCCATTCAGCTCCTGTGTCACCCCATCTCAAGACCTGCATCCATCACCTCAGCCCATGTAACCTGATTTGCCTGCCGTCACAGCTCCTGTCCACCCCTTTCAGCCCCTGGGGGGAAGATAGAAACACACAAAGGGACTGAGATACACAAGGGGGGTTGTAACAGACACACAAGAGGGTGTAAGACATAGTAAAGGGGAGATAGAATACAAAAAGAGGGTACAAATTTAAAAGGGGGGGCTACGAGACACTTGTGAAGATGCATTTTTTAAAGGGGGGGGAGGGGCGTCAAAATGCATCTTCACCTGTGTAGCCAAAAATCCTTGCACCAGCCCTGTTGAGGATTAGTATGCTCTACTGTTTCAGCGCTTCAGTGACATTCAAAGTAAAACATACAAAATATCATCGTGTACATCTGAATTGCTTTTTGTTGTTCAACACAGTTTTCTGCCAAGGGAGTGGTAGAATGTGGTTTAGAGGGAAAATTGCATATAACATTTTTAATTAAAATGATGTCAGCAGCATATCTGAGTCAAGTCAGCAGACCTGTTTTGCCAGAGATTTCCTCAGTGGGGAGTGACTGTAATCCAGTTGAAAGGAGCTCTCCAAACTTCTAAAGCACTTCAGCTTGTTCTCAGTGTTCCCTCTTTCACACTTTATAAAAGTGCTGAGAGAAATCTGCATTTTATAAATGTGCTAAATTGCACTATCCTGGCTGTAAAAAAAAAAATTGTAAAAACTTCTGGTTTATGGCAATGCTACCAGTACCAGTGTTCTTTCACCCCCTGTCCTCCAGCTACACACGTTTCTCTCTCTTTTTAGTCAGTCTCTCTCTATTCTTTTCTGTGGAGCTTGTTTCCACAGTTCCACAGCTTGTTTCTTTTTGATGTCTGTAATTCTCTTCTGGTCTTCTGTTCCGATAAGCTAGTGGACAGAGTTTCTAGTTCTGGCAGGGATCAAAAGGGAAAAAGACAGAAGGGAGATGTCGAATACACGTGGTTGCACCAACTGCAATGGGCGGCGATGCTCCGTACACTGATTGTGCTGGCTCCTCTGTCCCTGCCTCCTTTAACCGCTTTACTATTCCTGTTTAGAGATGTCGCGAACTGTCCGCCGAACTGTTCGCGAACTGTCCGCTGGCGAACAATAGCGTGTTCACGTTGGGCGAACATATCCGATTTCCGGTCCGCCCCCTATACGTCATCATTGAGTAAACTTTGACCCGGAACCTCACAGTCAGCAGACACTTCCTGGGAGGGAGGGTCTGCTGCTGATTGGGTGGAATGTGTCTGCTGGCGGTGAGGTTCCGGTTCAAAGTTTACTCAATGATGACGTATAGGGGGCGGACCGGAAATCGGATATGTTCGCCCAACGCGAACACGCTATTGTTCGCCGGCGGACAGTTTGGGAACAGTTCGGCGGACAGTTCGCGACATCTCTATTCCTGTTATGTTCTACAAAATGTACTGCGACCGAAAGACCCCAGCATTGTGTCACGTCATGAAGAAGTTAATCGAACCTCGTACTAACATGAGCCTGACATAAGGATATAAGCTACAATTTTAAAGGAAAAATTAATTTAATCAATAATGTTGATCACATTTTGTCTAGCACATTTATAAATATATTAAACATTAAAGTGCTTGCATTTCTAAACAGGATGTTTCTTGTTTCAACTTTTTCATAAAAAGCATTAGCCACTGTTCCCTGTCTTGGCAGAGAGAAGGCCAGCTGAATTCTGCTGCCAGGGGTGTCACCTTCTTGCAGCCTACAGTGTACTTGGTCAATGTCATTTTTTTTAGCATTAATCACACCTTATGTTCAGATCAGTGTTTTTCTTGATAAATAAAAAATATTAAAAAAACAGTTCATTAATATTTCTTTTATATAAAATAACCAATCTAGAATGTTGTTTTAGTAAAAGGTCTAACAGTAATGTGTCTTTCTATTTTATTATGTACATGTGAATGCAAGGTTATCACCAGTAGAATTTAGGGTGGCAGAGAGAGTAATTTCTTTACATTCCTTAGACATGATTAGGCCATTGTGACCAATCTGTTTGGCCGGATCATGCATGCAAAACACTCACGCCAGAAACTTCCTTCCATTGAAATATTTACTTTAATGGAAAAATGTACGTCAATCTAAAATGGGTCCTTTATTTATTTAGTTTTTTTCAGTTGGGTCCTGTGCTCATACTGTCCCTGTTCCATGACCTGTGTGCCAAACAATAAACCTTTAACAACCCCAGCCCCTTAAAGGACCACTCCACACCCCAAAAGCACTTCAGCTTGCTGAAGTGTTTTATGGGTGAGGAGTACCCTCATTTAACCCCAGTTTATAAAAGTGCTGATTTCTATGAGAAATCAGAACTTTATAAATTAACTAGGGAACTCCCCCCTGGGTGTCATTTAAACAGCTAGGGAGGTTTCCATCCAATATCAGTTGGCTCTCCTGAGCTGCCTGCCTCCCCCTCCCTCCCTAACAGACCTCAGACCAGCTTCACCAGTGCACGAGGGGTGGGGTTTAATGAGAATGCTCAATGAGAAGCCTCTGATTGGTTATTTCCCTGTGAAGAGACTGAAAGTCTCTTCTGGCAAAAGGGGGAGGGGCTTACAAAGGCTGCAGTCATAAGAACTGCAGCTTTTGTAATCTATTGTAGACTATACTCCCAATGAATACATACATATAAATATGCATGCATGTATTCATTGGGGGCATATCTACTAAAGGTACTAAAGGTGAGGTTTTTTTTTTTGTTTTTGTTTTTTGGGGGGGGGGAGTTGAAAGAGTGGAGTAGTCCTTTAAAATAACACTATTCGTTATTCATTAAAGTGAAAATTCAAGTTGAATTCAAAGTGGATTTTAAATTTCAAACAGCCAAAAGTGGAAAACAGGTCAAAACAGACAAACTGGAAAAATTATCCATGTCAGTTAAGCTTTCAGTTCAGCTATTGTGGTCTTAAATTTGAAATTCACTTTCAATTCTCACTTTGGTGAATAACTCTATATAGGGTCCATAACAACTGTGCATCATTGTAAAGTTTATGTCAGGCTGTTAATCAGGCCTGTAGTAATTCTTCACATATGACCAGTGAATGAGGTAAACCACATAAAATAATGTCACTATGAATATATATGTAAAAATGTATTTAGAGGAGATAAGCATGTATTTCTAATGCTTTAGTGTTATCCTGCCTATTTAGACTAATGTCCATCCTCCCCTGAGCCAATAAAAAAAAAACAGAAAATTGTTACAATACTTACTGTAATTTTCTTTTCATGGCCAATATCAATGTCAGCATCACCTGTGGGTTAGCTCCTCCCTCTCAGCTGATAGGACAGGTATCTAAATGTCAAATGATGGTATATAAGGAATCCACCTCCTTAGAATAAGCAGTCTTTTTTGCTGTCCTCCAGCTCTGAGGCCGCACAACAGTTTTATATTAAAGTTCACCTGCCATTAGTTTTTCATTATGGCATCCCTGGGGAGTTCAGCCTCTCTCCCCAAGGAAGAACCCAGATACAGCCCAAGCAGTTTGGGGCTCCCTGAGTTAAGATTACTATGACAGTGATCTTAACCCAGGGAAATTTAGATTCCTGTCCTTTCAGCCGAGAGGGAGGAGCTAACCCACAGGTGATGCTGACATGGATGGGCTAGGAAATATATTTTACTCACCTTTACTGGCCTGGGACGCCATCTTGTGGATCAACCATTGCAATGTTTCCCTATAGGGAAGCACTGGAAGGCTATTGTCCTCAATGCGACGCCATGCAGAGTAAAAAGATTGCAGGACTGAGCCCAGGAAGTCAATTTATTGGCTGTCAAACAGCCTCTCGTCATTCAATGGTGGAGTTAGGCAGCAGTGTAAACACCTTTTTTCACAGAAAATGCAGCATATACACTGCTGAAGCTGCAGGGACAGTCTCTCTAACACCGAACCAATACATTAAGCTGTTGTGGTTCCATTGCCTATAGTGTGTCCCTTTAATATTTAAATATATTTTACATCCCTGGCATTCCAGTATATCATATATAGATTTTGGGTAACTTCCTATAAAATAGGGGGAAATAAACTACATGCATTCTTATGGGTCAACAATACACATGGGGCATAAAATGAGCTGTATGTAAATATGAAATCATTGCAATACTATTGTACACTACTATGAAGATATTAAAATAATATAAAACTGGGTTGCCTTATCTGCCACTGCTTTTTCCATATATTGTAAGTGTTAGTGTATATAGAGACAGACAGGCAGGCAAGCAGACAGACAGACAGGACACGTTAATAGGTAGCAGACCCAACATAATCAACCAGACACATAATCAGACAGACATAAGCAGACAGACATTACATTATGTGTAAATTCAGACTGATGTTATATAAATGTCATGGGTGCAACATAGAGTTTTATAAAAGCAGAATGTGTCTATAAACAGAGTTTGCAGATTATTTAATGTTAGTTAATGCTGTTTAAGGGTTCAGATCTTTACAGCAGGTGCAGAAATGAATAAGCAGTGCAAACGTAGAGCTCTGCCAATCTCCAGGCTCAGTATCCTTCCCTTACCCCCAGATTCCAGTGCACAGTACCCCCCAGGCACACTCCCTACCTCTGTCTTACTCTGCTCCTCCATCATGCGGGTGGTCAGGCAGTGCTGGGACTGGCACTATGCTCCCTCCTTTGATGTTACAGTGTTGGATAAGGTTGGGAGGAAAAGCAGTTCTGCCCCCTGTTATCTGCAGTGTGTTCCTGGCTCTCAGAAGCCCAGCCTTCTGTTTCCTGTATTATTATAAAGCTGTCATAAAGAGGGAGGGGACCAGGGAGGAAATGAAATGCCTTCATATGCAAGAAAATATGACGAGCACATTACAAGGTACACAGCCAGAGGTGCTGCCACCTAATGGTCAATCGCAGGTACGTAACGAGTGATACTGCAACATTGTATACTTTGCAGAAATGATACATTGTATTTGCTAAACATGTGAGAGAAGAATTGCAACTTTTTTTATACATGTTAAAATTATTCACTAAATTCTCAATTGAGAACTGCATAATGTTATGTAAGATGGACTATAGGGGTATAGTAGGAGAAATGCGTTTTTTTTTACATTTGTCAATTGGATTGCAGTTATTTGTACCTTGAATGTGAAATGTCAGAAATAAGTGTCTAAGTGAATTCAAAGGTTTTTTTTCCACTAAACTCTAAATTTTAGCTACAATAACAGAGTCATCTATGTTTAATTGATTTTAGCCTAAATGTTTACATACACCTTTAATTTCCTTTGAAAGGACATAAGGGCTTTCTTCTGATGCCCCATGTGTATTCATAACACAACAATATGAATAACAAAATATATATATTAAAAATGCGGAAAAAATAACTCACAAAAATTTCTGCAAAACTACTGCAAATCAAGAAAATTACCATATTTTTGGAACAAAGAACGTTTTTTTAACCCAAAATTTGTTTAACCTGGTGCAATGTCGAGATAGGGGGACACAAAGCTTCCCACTCCTGACAGTCACTACACATCATCTGGCCTCTACCCTCTATCCGGTACAACCCTGGGAGCAGGGAGCAGCTACCTAGCAGTTAAAGGATAATCAGGATTCTGTACCACATTCAGCAATGCCACCTTACAACAGGTGGTCAGAGCCAAAGGAAAAGTGATGGAAAAGGGGGGTTGGCACATGGAGGAGGGTGAGAAAAACTGGGTTTAAGAGACACAAGGAGGTGCAAACACACCTGATGGGTAAAAGACACAAGTGGTGCAAGAAACTTTAGGGGGTGCACAAAGTAGGGTAAAACATTCACGGGTTGTTTTATTTTTATTTCTAAATTTCTAGGTAAAATACATGGATGTGTCATATTTTCCAAAGAACGTTGTAACTAAAAATAGATCCTCTTATCAGCCTTAATTGTTAAAATGCTTCACATGTCTAGGATTTCAATTATTTTTTGGAAGTTATAGGGCGAAGTTGTGAATTACTCTTTTAAAACAGATGTATTGAAAAATTTCATGTGCTAAGACTTGAGAAAGACTCTGAAGAGTTACAATGTTGCCTGATGGTGCCTCAAAGTACCTGCAATTCCCTTTGGGTGTCTGATTCATTGCTAGCTCTGTGATGTCTCACTAGTTAGTAATCCACATTTAACATGGCCTTGCCAATCACACTGAAGGTTAATATTGGGACAAAATGTTCTAGTTTTTATGTAAATTACAGTACAATGCACAATAAATTTCTGGTTCTCTTTAATTAGATGTCTCCCAACTGTCTATATTTAAGCAGGGCAGTCCAAATTGTGTATCTCTATCCTGTCTAGACAGTATTCTTCTCCACATTTAAATTAATTCCCTGGGTGCTTATGACTCAGACTCTCTACCAGTAAGTTGGCTGATAACATTATGTGCTGCTAGAATTTAAAGAGTTAGTCTATGCACCAAAACAACTGTATCTTAAAGGGACATGCATCACTTGACAATTATTTTTCTAAACCAGTAAGCAAACACATTTAAACAAATTTACCTAACCATGAAATACAAAATAAAGCAAGAACAACTTTGAAAAGTATGTAACAAAAATGTAGAAACTTACTATAAATTTATTCAGCTTGCTTTATTGGGTTCCGTCGGTGGCGCCAAATAAAAAGATGATTGATGTGAAAAGAGATGACTGATGGTTATTGAACAGCCACTAAAGGTCGATTTTATTCACAGATCAAGTGAGAAGTAACCAACTGAGGGAAATACAGCAGAGCAGTAAATAAATCTATATTTATAAATAATATATCTAATAAAAGTATAACATACAAATATAGATTTGTTTTACTGATTCTCCTCTTTCCCCTGCATCAGTTATTTTTTTCCTCAAATGATCGTGAACCAAATGGCAGGTTATTTTGTCTATTAGTGTACTGGAAAATAGATACATAATCATTTATATTATGTTTATATTTTGCAGTAAACTGACTGCTGCATTATCTTGCCTTTTTGGTGAAAGGATAAATGCTGTTCTGGACTCAACTCCCCTCGATTCTCGATCCCCCGTCACCACATCAATTGATGGGAGATCTTGTTTGGCAAATAAGACACACAGACACGAAAGAGTGCTCAACAAGTTCTCAATGAGTATATTTTCAGGGCTAGCATTTATACACAGTTTGTCATGCAAGCAGTGAGATCTATAGTGTCCTTGTAGTTAATAGTACATACTTGTCGGACATGAAAAAGATAAGCATTTGGATAAAGACGAGACAGGAACATCCTAAGGTCAAGGAAGGTCATACATCCTGTAGACGAAAGACCTTGGTACAAAATACATTTGCCAAAGTCAGCATAATTATTTCAAACATTATTTTAAAGCAAGAAAGAGTTTAACTATTTCATATCCTTACAGTCAGTACTAATGATTATAAACCTTATCTAAGCATAAAATACATATGAACAAGGAAAGTTAACTATTTCAGCTTTCATTTGGTTCATCAAAATAATTTTACATGGGTGATATTCCGATGAGTCTGACTGCCTCATGGACGACTTTCAGTCTACCTGAACTGAATTGTTTCACAATGCACAAGTGTAACGGAGCTCCAGTACTGTGGCTGAGTACCTCTCACTGAAAAATAGAGCACTGAGGTGATATAGCTCTTTCCCCAAACACCAGATGAAACTTGGTGAAGGGTAAAACACAAACAGGTTTATTGTTGCAAAGCACACATCTTTATAGAGACAATCACAACATGGGGTCATCAAAAGTGACAAAAGGCCACCTCCCTGGTGCCACTGTGTTGAACCAGATCAATTACTAGACATGTGCAATTCCTTTCGGTCCGAATTAAAATTCAGACAAATTTCGGCAATTCTGACATTCGGATCCTTCTGAATGTCCAAATTGCCGAAGTGTTGAATTTCAGAAGTGCCAAACTGAACCGAATTGCCGAAGTCCCGAAGTGTCGGATATCAGAAGTGCCGAACTGAATTTCCAAAGTGCCAAATTTTGGAAGTTCCGAAGTGCTTTGGATTTCTGAAAAGTGGCAAAACAGGAGAGGGAGGGAAAATGAAGGGAACAATGACAGGAATCTAACCCTACCCCTACCCCTAACTCCACCCGTATCCCTACCCCTACTAGGGTTAGGGGTAGGTTTAGGGATAGGGTTAGGGGTAGAAGAAGGTTGGAATTAGGGGTAGGGTTAGGGTTAGGGTTTGGGTTGGGGTAGGGTTATGGGGTTAAAGTAGGGTTGGGTTAGGGGTAGGGTTGGGGTAGGGATAGATTTGGGGTAGGGTTAAGGTTAGGGGTAGGGATAGAAGTAGGGTTAGGGAACTGCCAAAGTCCCAAATTCCCGAAGTCCTGAATTCCTGAATTGCCTGAATTTTGTAAGTTCCAAACCAAATTGAAGTGCCGAATTGCCGAAGTGCCGAATTGCCGAAGTGTCGAACCAAAGTGCCAAACTTCCAAATTGCCGAATTTCGAAAGTCCGAACCGATCCGAATTTTTTGCCCATGCACATCCCTATCAATTACAACAAATTTAATTTGCTTCCAGACAACAGGGCGCCTTAACTAAATACCCCTAAAAACACACATTTACACATTGATCATCCCACACAAGTGGTATCCCCAGATAGCTAATTTCCGAGCACCCTAACTGACAAAATAGTGCTGTGATCAATCGCAGGGGTCCGAGCTATATCCAATTAAAGCTTCAGCGGGTTGTGCCAATGTTCCACACAGTTTCTAAGTTTGTCTTGGTCTGGTTCATGGAGCCCTCATAGCTCATCAGTCCATAGAAGTCTTGTTTGGGCAGGCCAGACTGGGTTTCCCGTTCACCCTGTGCTCCAAATAGGAACAGGTTGACAGACAGATGAGGGGACTGTGTCACGTATTCATCCGCTTACAAAAATGTTGTTAATGACATTTACTGTCCACACAGGAAAAGTTGTGAAGAGCAACAACCAAATCCACAGAAAGGTTAATGCTGAGCAGCAATTATGCAAATGAGATCTGGTAACTGCCTTTGGGGTCAAAGGCCAGATACAGCCTATCAGATCTAGAGGAGGGGTATTTAGGCCCAGTTCTCATCCTGCTCAGTGCCCTGTCATGGTTTCCCTTGAGGTTGTCCGAGAGCATGTTATTGATTCTGGTTATTCTGGTTATTTGACTTTGGCATTGTTTTTGACTTCCCTGTTTTCTGGCATCCCTGACTCCTGGCTTTTCCTTATCGTTGTGTCTCTTTCTGTTTCCCTTGACCTCGGCTATTCCCGACTATTCTTTGGTACGTTAGTCCGGCCATTCTAAGGTCCGGTATACGTTACCTATCAGTCCTCTGTGTTACACAGTTCTACTTGCTGGATCATTCTGTAATCCTGACATGACGACAGGGCCATAGATCCTGTAGAATTGTGTAAGCACATAGCTGCTTGCGAAAGGAAACTGGAGGATAATGATCACCACTTGGATCAATTTGCCCAGGCTTTCAGTATGCTTCTTACTCGTACAGCACATTTGCAACCTGTGGCTGCTCCTACTGTGTCACCTGTGCCTTGTGTACCTCCGCCTATAGTACAACGTACCAACTATCTCTCTATCTCCTACTCTGCATTTTGATGGTAATTCCCAAGAATGCCGGGGATTCCTTAACCAAATAGAGTATCATTTTGAGGCCTCACCGGGATCTTTTCCCACAGACAAAGCTAAAATTGGTTACCTGATGAATCAATTAAAAGGTAAAGCTTTAGCTTGGGCCAATCCATTATGGGAGAGTAATAGGAGTGTGGCACACAATTACCAGGAGTTTAATACAGAATTTAAACTTATGTTTGAACCATTAGGCATGGAGG